TGGTTTGCTGCCTCCCTGCCTCCACTTTTGTGATAATGATGCTGCTAAAGCTGTTCCATGCCTATTGGCCAAATACCCCAAGCTTGTACTTTACCCTATAAAACCTCATGCGCACGTCTTGGAGGTGCTTGCTCAGAGCTTCGGAGCAGAAGCCCCTCTGAGTGCACCGGTGTAATACATCTGACTACTCCAACCCTCCGAGTGGTGCTTGTTTCTTGGCTGGCCTGTCGTTTCCGTAACACTTTCATTAATATATATATATATATATATATTCATTAATATATAAATTACTTTGACCACAAAAGTATTGTTTCTTGCATCAAGTATAATGAAAAAAAAAAAGAAACAACTGCTTAAGGCAATGTACAAAATACAAAGATCATTTCCTAATCAGTGAGAACTTATGACCTAAAATGTATTTTGATTCAAGCAAGCTTGACTACTATTAATTGATTGTATGTGGTCATAGCATTGTGTTGGGTGCAGGAAGGGGGGAAATTAATCTGAATCCCAGAGAGCTTTCCATCTGCCTGGACAGACAGAGCCCATACATGAAGCGGAAACATAAGAGCGGAAGGTGGGATATGATTGACCCATGAATTCACAGAGCTCAGAGATATTGGCAGTCAGTGTGGAAAGATGTTAGGGCCTCTAGTGGGTTTCAGATGAACTTGAAGGATTGCCAAGAATTTAACCAGATGGGAGAAAGGGAGGCCAGGGCATCCAGTTCAGGAGGAGGCTAACCCTGGATTTGCCACCATGAGACATTGGTAAACTAGAAGTGGAGCCTCCTGAAGGGCAGCCATCGGAGCTGCCTGGGTGTGTCTCTGGGAGGTTAGCATTTAGAATAAAATGTAGCTAGAAATTGGAGGCTGATTGGACAGAAGTGATGGAAGGAAACACATGGGATCAAACAAGCTCAGGGTAGGCTGAGGAGGTAGGACTTTGCTGACAGAGAAAATTAAAACGGCAGTACATCTAATTGAGATTTAAATTTTCCACTGAGTGTGGGGAAACTTTAGTGCTGCTTTGTTGGAGGCAGTTGGAGGAAAACCTGGCTGTAGGGCGGGGGAAGTAAATGATGATGAATTTATCCTTCCATCTTTATTTTGGACTGAACTCCGAGCAAAGATAATGATATCTGACATCTATGCATTCCTTTCCCCTCTCTGTGGGGGCACCAAACTAAACCCTCATCTCATGTCATCCTTGTAATTGATGAAGTTGATTGTTAGGTGAGGCAGTGGTAGATTTTAAGTATTTAGCTCTTGTAAACATAAACTTTCCAGTTTTAAGAGCTGTTTAAAAGTAAAATCCATATGAGAACATACTATTTGTCCCTTTTACAGAAGGGGAAACCAAAACATAAGCAAGCTGAAAAATTTGCCCAAAGGTCCAGCCGGTAAGCAGCAGAGCTGGGATGCAGAAATTTTATCTCTGGGTCCCCACTCTCTCCACTGTTCAGGACTCAGCCTCATAGGGTGAGAATTCTCTAGGAGCCGAGATACTTCTCTCACCATCTGGAAGGAGAAGACCCTTTCCTGTCAACTCCCATCCTCCTTCCCGACAAATGCAGAGAGTCTTACAAACAAGTGAATAACCCAATACAGAAATCCTTCAGAGGGTTCAGGAGAAAAAAAAAAGTTCAGAACAGAGAGGCTAGCAGCTCCAGGAAATGCCCCAAACTCTCTGACCTCACTCGGCCAACAGACTGCATTGCTACAGCCTGGCATGCAACCAGCGTGTAGGAATCTATCATGATGGGCGAGCAAATAAACTTGCTACAAGTCTGTTTTATGCTTTAGTTATTTCTCACCTGGACTATTGTTGGTACCTTGGCAAGCCCTTTTTGTTCATCCATCTTGCTTTTTACTGTCTATCGAAAACAGAAACACATTTATTTTTTCCCCACCAGCTGTAATTCTCAAACCACCCTTTACTCAGGCAATTATACCAGTTTTCTGTCTCATCAGAGAATTCAATTTAAAATTTTAGTACCAGTGGTTAAAATACTTACTTCATACATAACTTCAAGTTTGTATGGTTTTAATTCACATTTATGTTTCTGTTTACACTTTGCATTCTTTAATTGATTTATTTCTTAGCGATGCCATCTGTGGATTTTAAGTACTGAGCCTTGTACAAATGACTTTTCTTCTTCCGCCTCCCAAAGCTGTTTTGAAAACTATTTCCCTCACCTCACAGCAATTAAAGCTGTGCTACATTCTCATTTCCGGACCTGGACATTTTTATAGCATTGCCTTCTTGTATATTTAGATCGTTACAGGTCTGAGCATTCCTATCCATAACTTTTTAACCACAGAGATATTCTTTAGGTGTGGACCCCCCGGGAAGGAGACCTCTCACTTGTGCTCTGTGATCTGCACTAATAAAAACAGATCATTGGTTCTTTGGGTTGGTTGGATGGTGAGCAGCCAATTTGTGCATGTGGAGAAATCCTCTGCCAAGCCTAGAGTTTGTGTGTATGGCAGCTCTCTTCTAGCTTGTGTTCCGTAACCTTGGAGCAAAGGGTCCTTTCCATCTTAGTATACCCAGCTCCTAACCTGGTGCCTAGAATCTGTAGGTGATCAACAAACAGGTGTTAGATGAGTAAATTATAAATCCAGGCTAATTATCTTATCAGCGTAAAACAAGACCTGGCTGCATTCAGCATGGAGCAGGGAACAAGGAGAAATGTCATCTTCCTTTCGACTTCACCCAGCCTTTTTTAATGTCTTGGATTATTATGACCTAGAAGGATGGAAGGTGACGCATCAGTCCCCTTTTCCTTTGCCTCTAGAAGTAGTTGACTGTATGGTGTTCTCTCTTTTATTTTCCCCTAAGGGGTATCTGATTGTGGATGACGAGAGGAGGGCTCTTTGCCTGCCACCCAAGAGTGTAGAGTTAGTCAAGTATCCTTACATTTGTGTATAGGTGAGTTAGGATTTTGTCCCCTTAAAGATCTTTGCTCTAAGTACTCAACTATTACTGGAAAAATCAGTCCCTCAAGATGCTTTCCATGCCTATAAATCTACATACAGCAGTGGTTCTTACCTTGGCTGCAGACTGGAATCACCTGGGAAGCTTTAAAACACATGGGTGCCTGGATCCCACCCCAGAATGCGGACTTCATTGGCCTGTTGTGTGGCTGCAGCACAGAGGACT